TTTATCAATCGACTTTAATGGAGATTAGTTCTTTGTATCTAGACATTTTTTTTATATATCCATGAATTGATTGTCTTATAGAAGCTTCTTTGAATTTAGGGCATTATTTGCATTGAAGCATTTCTTGATAAGCCATGGATTTGAACCGTATTTTTGAGACTACATCATTCTCTCCATCTTCAAAAGGCTTTGTCCTCAAAACTAAAACTAATTTTTTTGTTCTTTTAAAAGAAAATTCCGAAATAAATATTTTTTAAATTTTTATTGAAGGTTTTATGGACGAACATTATTTAGGAAAAAATAAAAAAAAAATTTAAGTTTTTTTTTTGTTTTAAACAGAAATATCAAATACAAAAGGGAATATAATTTTTTTTTGTTTAATGAGAAACAAAATAAAACTTTAAGAAAATTAAACGAAGCCGGCCGCGAGATATTAAAAGCCCCAAGCCGGAAGAAAAAAAATTGGCCCATAAAACCATTTAAAAAAAAAACAAAAAACATTAATGACCTCTTCAAGACTCGAACTTGTCTCCACTGTAGTATGAACTCTGTTTCTACCCACTGAACTGCCAATGTTTTACAATAATGTAATGCCTCCTTAACTACTTATTATATTGAGCGGCCCTAAGCCCAAGTTTCACTTGCTTGTGGCCAGGGCTGGCTCTGTGTGGAGCAAACTAATTAAGTTTACCAGTCTTGAATTGTTGTCCCGTCCAGTCTACGTGAAAGAACGACTGTTGAAATGTGAAGCATAAACATTTAGGGCCATGGCCAAAAACAAAGCTAAGCATCAAATACCAATACCAAGAGATTCACAAAACAAAAGTTCAACCCTACTGAGACAACGAGTTCTTTTGGCATTGCACTCTCCTAAACGTAGTCCAATCTGAAACACAAAACTAATATGAAAACAAAATTAGCGAGGAAGGATGAAAACAAAATTGGTCAGATTTACCTTGCCCATGACCAAAATTGGTGAACGAGAACCACTATATACATATATTCCATGGGAGTCTCACATATTTGACAACCACATGGAAGAGTGATGCTCGGACAGGAAAAGTATATATGGTTCCTTGTAGAATGGAGCATACATTTGTTTGAAATAAAATCTAGAACTATGTAAGAAACGCACTCTACTGTTTATTGTGCATGATGTTAGTTTTTGTTGCATGTCATCACATGCATACACGACTCTGCTTTGACACTAGTAAGTTTCCCGGATCTCTCTAGACTGAAAACATACTAATTCTACCTTCATAACGTTTATTGAAATTATTTTGAGCTTTCCTGAGCCTACAAGTTTTTAATATTGTAGGACGAGACAAGTCTATAGTGAAAGCAGAGCTTGAAGACGCTCTGAGACTTGGATGTTTGCTTCGCTCTGATTTGCCCAAAGTGTTTGACTCATGTTACCAACAAATAGCTCCGACTCATGTTTGTTTGCTAGTTGAGACCTTGAAGACTTAAAAAGACTAGAAATTAAAGACATAATAAAAAGATTTCCTAATTAGTCTCGAATGAAAAACGAATAACAAATGGAGAAGGCATCCGAAAAAAGTTGAAATGTTTTAGATCTGCATCCACAGAGCAAGGCTTGATAGGTATGCATCGACCATGTTGTTGGCCGTTTGGAGAGCATCTTCCACTCTCCCCGCCTTGACATATGCGTCCATCATTGCTCTGTGTGTGTCAACATCGATGGCGGACAAAGATCTATCCGACGACAATTCAGCAAAGAAACACTCTGCCTCCGGCAACATCCCATGCTCGCAACACCTTAAAATCACATTCCTATGGTCTAGAAGATTTAAATACTTGTCTTTTGCTTTCACCTTGTAGAATGTCTCGATTCCCTCCTTGAAACGACCCTCCTTGAAACACTCTCCCACCATCATATCAATGGTTTCTGAATTCACTTTAAAACGCTCTCTCACCATCACATCAATGGTTTCTGAATGCACATCTAGCATCCGGTGGAACAAGTCCCAAGCTTCCGTTTTCTTACCATAGCTCAGGAGAAGTTGCAAGAGAGCGTGTCCAGTATCCCCAAAGACTTGATACCTGTCGTTGCCCAGCAAAGACTGGTAGCACCGCATAGCTTCTTCGTGTTTCCCTTGCTTGAACCAGTGCTCGATGAAGGCCACCCTCACGACCCCTGATTCGCTTTTGTATTCCCAGGGCCGATCAGCGTGAAAACCCTTGGACTCAAATTCCTCCAAGAGTTGATTGGCCATGTCGAGATTCCCTAGATTCAAGAAGCCGCGGATCAGGTTGGTGCAAGCCAAGGGCACTGGATGTTTCCTCAGTAAACAGAGGGCTTCTTCGAACCTCCCGGCGTGTACCAGCACTTTGGTCACGTTACCGTAGTTGATGCCGTTTGGAGATACGGCGCTGAGGAGTGCAAGAGCGTCGTCGACGCGACCAAGGTCACAAAGGGCTCTAATGATGTGGTTTGAGGAACGGCAGGTGGCGCTCATCACCTTGGAGGACTCGTTGAAAAAGTGATGGTACAGATCCAAGGCGTCTCTGTATCTTTTGGCTTCGCACATGGCGCCGATGATAATGTCGCAGGTACTAAGAGTGTCATGGCAGTAGATTTTGCTATATGCCAAGCGCGCATACTCCGCCGCCGTGTCCAGGTCTCGCAGGTTAATTAGCAATCCGACCGTCCAGCATAGCTGCTGAGGACGACGATCGGCGTTGGACATCAACTCCGACCGTGGGGCTGGGGCTGGGAGAAGATCTCTCGGAACCGGGTAGCGATACGAGACGGCGGTAAAATCGGCAGCGGCCGGCCAAGATAGACATGTTTTTTTAATTCTTCTACGGAAAAAAATTAAAATATGTTTTTGGAGATCTCTTTATTTATTAATATCCCTAAACCCTAAAGAGACAGTCATTGGAAGGCCCAAAGATGTCTCTACTCCGCCGCATCCGATGGAATCCTCAGAACTACTTGTGTTCCCCAAGGCGTCAGCTCACATCCTCCGCCTCCGCCGTGCCATACCCACTCGGAAGAAGAGATCCTTACTCTCTCCCACTCTCACTTACTCAGAAGCCCCATCCCGAAGAAATCCACTTTATCGACTCCCGTCCCATCTCCCTCCGCTACAGAGTCGCCGCCGTTTTGGAGCTCTCGGCTCTCGACGACGCCGCCACGATCTCCCGCTTCGCTGTATTCGACAGATTCCGCACCGACGCCATTGTCCCTTGCAACGCCGTCATCGACGCCATGTGCCGCGCCAAACGCTACGAGGATGCCATTGCTCTCTTCCATTTCTTCTTCAACAAGTCTGGCATTGCCCCCAACACCCTCTCCTTCAACCTCATCATCAAAGCCCACTGCGATGAAGGCCACGTCGACGACGCCCTTCACCTATACCGCCACTTTACTGCCTTTTTCGCTCCCGACAGCGACACGCACAGGCTGCTCGCTCAAGGGCTTGTCGATGCCGGGAGGATCGAAGAAGCCGTGTCTTTAACCACCTCTGTCGTGGACTGGAAGGTCCACAACGTTCTCATTCGCGGCTTCTTGGATCTACGAAACCACGACAGGGCTCATGAGCTCTTTTCCCAAGTTAAGGCAGCTTGCGATGCAGACGGGATTGCCTTTGTGAGCTGCACGTTTTTGGACTACTGGTGTGAGCGAGGGGAAGATGAAGACGCGTATTTGGACAACTGGTGTGAGCGAGGGGAAGATGAAGACGCGTATTTGGACAAAGCTATGTCATACTTACCTAGCAAGGTTGAGTTAGTGTCTGGCAATAAGCTTGTGGAAGTTTTGTTCAAGCATGGTCGAACAAGTACTGGTTGGGCATATTTCAGGGGCATGTTGAAAGAAAACATCTTTGATTCACAGACCATCAACATAGCGGTCAACGAGTATTTCAAGCACGGGGAGTTTGGGGAGGCACTCGAGACCTTGAAAAGGTCCCCTCCGGAAATAATGTCTGGTTCCTTGAGCAACATCATTGCCAGGTTATGCGAACGTGGGATGGTCTCGGAGGCAGAGTCTTTACTTGAGGAAATGACCTCACCCGGCGTCGCCACATTCAGAGCACTGATCGATGCATACGTTAGGGCCGGAAGAGTGGATGATGCTCTCCGTATCTTCAACAAGATGATGGCTGCACGTCTACGCAACCTTGCTATTGATCATGCCCACTGAACCGTATTCTACTACTAGTACTATATTACTTATTATTAGCTCTGGTACTGGCTCTGGTTCAACTAACAGAGGATTTCGCATTGTTTTCTTCTTTTTTTTTTGGCTTATTTATAAATCATATATGGTCTCTGACTCTTGACTCTCGTCATTAAAGCTTTGAAGGTCCATTTCTTTA